TGTAAAGTTACAGAAAGATTCCTTAATTATTTATTGAAATATTTTAATTTTAAGAGAAAGGGCGGCGCGCAGTGAACCTTCGTTACGTGCAGTCTCAAGTGATAACTGTTCACTGGATCAATAAAACATGGTTTATTTCTCAGGAAATTAGTTTTTTAAAGATTTTAATTTCGTAAAAAATATTTGTTTAATAGTTTGTAAAAATAGTTTTATTGACATTTCACTATTTGTAATTCTTATCCTTTTTAGCAGAAACGAAAAACGTACATTAATATTTGTAATATACATTACTGAATACGCTTGTTAACATATTTTATAATATTTAATTTTATTTAGGTTAATAAAATAAATAATAATGAATACAAATATTATATAACTTTAATTTATTTAAAATTAATTGTAATTTAAATAAATAATTATTTCCTTTTATTTTTCAACTGTTTATCGCTAAATCATATTCAAGAGTGTGCAAAAGTTTGTAAATAATTTCAATGATCAAAATATGAAATAGTTTGTAAATAAACGATATACTAACAAAAGTTATTATAAATTTATTGCAAAACAATATATTTATATTCTGTAGTTAAATACAGTTTGTATTATTTCTCAATATATAAACATTTTCAACTAAAAATTTTCAACTAAAAAATTTTTTATTATTAATTAAATATTAATTAAACATATAATTTTAACATAATTTATTTATAAAATTATATTATTTATTAGTAAGATTTTCTGAGAAAAAAAACAATGTTTTATTGAGCCAGTGAACAAATATCACTTGAGACTGCACGTAACGAAGGTTCACTGCGCGCCGCCCTTTCTCTTAAAATTAAAATATTTCAATAAATAATTAAGGAATCTTTCTGTAACTTCACAGAAAACTTCCTCAAATAGTAATAAACAAATGTCTCACTGGAAGTTTGCTCAACTCTTAACTTCTCCACAGACTTTTTGACAGCAAAGATAAGAAAACGTGATTATCAACGGATCTCTATAAACAATTAAAAATTAATAAACAATTCATTTTTCTTTAATTTTTAATTATGTTGTCGCCTTGTGTGGACCCAAATGCGTTTGTATGCCAAATTACAAGTAATTTCAATAATATTTACCGAAGATACAGCGAGTTATGTTTAAAAATTTAATCAATTTTGAGAATTTAAATTTGTTAGTTTTTGGTCATTATTTTCTAAAATATTCATTTTAGAAAAAAATCTCAAAGGAAAAAAAGATGCGCTTTTCAATTTCCTATAAGATACTGTTTTTAAAAAATAAAAATTTCCAATTTCCAATTTTTCCAGAATTTCTACCGTTTGACTGGCGTTATAGCGTGTAGCGGCGCGTACGTCCCCTTATTGTGCCCAACCATTCAATTTCAAATTTTTTCTACAATTATTAAAAAATATGCCAAAGTTGAAAAAACTTCAAAAATAATTTTATTTTTTGTAAATTTATTTGAAAAGTTGACTAAAAAATCAATATTTACAATAAACAGGCATATATTATTAACTTTTTTAGAAATTTAATTTAATTAATTTTTAATGTAATTTTAAAAAATGTTGACCCCTCGTTTATATAGAAAACTGTACTATTTAGGGGCCAAAAATCGGTTTTTTATTTTTTAAAGTATGAAGTACCCTTTCAATCATCTTGCAAAGAATATATCTTACTCTTCAAATGACTATTATTTTATAGAAAAAAATGGCGGTTGTGCAAAAAAAATTTCAATAAAAAAAAATGTTTTTTAAAAAAAAATTTAAAAAAAAATTTTTTTTACTGACTTTCTTTATGTTAGAATTTGGTCGAAAAATTTTTTTTTATTAACTTTTCATATTGTATTGTACAAAAAAAATTTTTTCATGAAAATCGGTTCAACCATTTCGGAGGGAAAAAAAATTTTTGAATTTTTTAAAAAAATTGTATAACTCAAAAACAAAATTGTTTTTCGAGTTGAAACTTGGTGAAAATAAGTCTCATAATAGGTCAAAATTATTCCCTAAATATGGACCCAATCCAAGAGGGGGCCAATTTTACATGCTTATACTGCTACGGCCTTTGTTTAGCTTCTATGACGGCGACATCTGCACCTTTTACCTAGAACTATAGTTATAGTCTCCCTCTCATATAATTAGCTTAGTCCCGAGGAAGATAGTGAACTGATGTTTTCGGTGTATCGACGGGTAAAATAAAAGTCTTCTGCGTCGGGGGGAGCTAGACGAGGGATAGACAAGTTCAGTCGAAACCTGTGAGCTCTAGTATAAGGGGAGGGAGAAGACGATACCGAAGGAATGAACGAAGTCCCGGTGTGGGACAATTTTTTTTCAACTGTCCCAGTTTGAGGGGGCGGTGGAGAAATCCAATCAAAGCCGGTTAGTTCGGGGGGAACTAGGCAGAAACTCGACAGGAGCTAGACAAATACAATCAAAGCCTGTGAGCTCGAGCATAGGAGGGGGGAGAAGGGGATACCAAAGGCATGAATGAGATCCCTATGTGGGTTCGGTCCGTCCCTATAAATGTCCCAGTTCAGTCGGTAAAATCCAGAATAAGGATCGGGGGGGGGGGGTTAAACGTTGAGTTCAACCTCGTCGTGTACAGTATTGTGTTATCTCGACCTACCTTGAAAGGAAGGACCACCAACCAGAGGGTCGAATTATCTCTGGTTGTCAGTCAAGCAAGTTTCAATAAACAAAATATTAAGAGCGACACAAAAGCATGAATGAGGTCTTGGAAGGGGCAATCTGTCCCTACGATTGTCCCAGTTCAAACGGTAAAATCCCGGATAAAGGTCGGGTGCGTAGAGTTCGAGAAAATGGCACTCGACGATGTACACAGGGAAACGTCATGGACACTTTGTCGTGTACGGTATCGTGTTGTTATCCTAACACACTTTAAAAGAATGGGCCACTAATCAGAGAACTGGGTTTGTGAGCCGAGTACAAATGACGATGGGAAATGTTCAAAAGAAAGTAGGAGTGAAAGGAGTATGTGGTCAGAATTTAGTCTGTAGTCAATGATGAGAAGTTAAATAAAATAACAATGAACATATATTCTGCCAACCCCCATTGATGCCCACTGTACATAATTTAATAAATTAAAAATGTAGTCGGTTGTGTCTAGGTCGGTTGGATGGTGCACGTCCTGCCAGCCTCTTGAGTCGCTCAAATGCGGCGTTCTTAGGGGCTTGGTAGGACTTAGACGCCGTCGAACGCTGACTCGGTCTCGTCGTCGAAGGGCGTCGTTCTAGCGGCAGGTCGAAGGTTGACCTAGTGGTGAGAGTCCTCTTAGGGATGGTATACCTCAAGAGAGGACGAGGTCCTCTATTCTCCTTGTCCCCGGGCTGGTTTGTGGAGGCGTTACGCTCGGGGGTCCGTTGATGATTGTAACCCGGCTCTGGGCATGGTTGAGCACCTCGATGCTCCGGATCCCGAATGGTCCTTGGATGAGCGGCTTGTCCAAACTTCTGGATGGTCCTGTGCGTGGTACCGTAGGCGTGCCGGTTCCGCTCCTTTCGCAGGTGAATAAGGCAGCTGGGGTAGGGCGGTTGAAGGGCCGTAACGTCGTAGTTGCGGGGCGGTCTTCTTCTCGGGCGTCAGCGACAGCGGAGGTGACGAGGCCACGTAAGGTGCCCGACCTAGTTCCTGTAGGAGGTTCTGCAGCTCCTGTCGTACGACGGGGGTCTCGATTATGGGTCCCCAGGACGGCGCTGGCGAACTAGGGCGGCTTTTCTTATTAGGTGCCGCTAAGGAGCTGGCGGCGTGGGTCTCTCTCTGGAGCAGCTTCTGATGTCTCTTATGGGCTTGGATCTTACACCCGCGGGCCTTACTCCGTAATTTCTGGCGCTCACTCTTGTGTCCTTCCATCTAGAAGTGGGGAAAACAAAATGATTGAGGGTTTCATCGTTGGCCAGTGTTTGGTGAGCAGAGATGTCTGAGTTATGTGTTCAAAATGGGCGAACTGTCGTGCGCCGATCCATTGACGATCAGTTTAATTACAATTAAAACGATTTTTCATTCATTTAAACGCTATTTTCAATTGAAAGTTTAGGACTTCCTACAGACAAGGGATACGACCTAACACTCCAATACGTGAAAATTCAAATATCGGATTCAACATACCAAGTTTCAATACGTTTTCCGATTCTCGCTATCCAACTTCTTTTACAGGGTACTGTGCTGTCTGCGAATAATTTTTGTTTGCAAATGTTCTTTTATTCTTTTACAACACTTACACTGATCTGCCTTTTGTTTATTATAAATTTCTGATTATAATAAAGGACAACAGTTTTGACGCGCAAATTATCGATTTTGTCACTATTCGTAAATGATACTAAAACACAATTTTCATCTAAAATTTTAGGATAACCCTGACTTTATTGACTTTATGTGATACAATCCAGCAATGTCTGTTTGCATATTTTCGACTTCCTCAATTTCTTCTGCCTTTTGATCATTTTGCGTTTTAAGTTTTCTTGGTGATGTTCGTGGTTGACTAATATTTTTAATGCGTCCAAGATGTAATGCTGACAAGGCTCCTTTTTTAATTAAGGTATTTTGTTGTATGGGTCAGTCTTACAATCTGAGTGTGTTATGAATATACTTTGAGAACATCTGTGTGTCAAACTGTACGTCGGCAAAAGTTTTTCGGAAACTCTGTCAAACTTTTGACAGTGACCAGTCGCGCGACAAATACCTTAAGAACTTTTGGAAAATTATTTCATTTAATTGATTCAGATATAAAGTTTAGTTGAAAATTGTAGAATATAATTGAGGCCTCGGATCGAAGAACCAACGCTTGGCTCTGTTCTGTATGTTTACAAGCAAGTAGGACATTTTAGTACTTGCAGCAAGCTTACGTGTAAGATTGCAAATCTTGTTGTGTAAGTTTGCTGCAAGCTTACAGGTTAATTGGGCTGGTTCACTAGGTACCCAGGCTGAATTAACTTTCGATCTAATAGTACAAGTACCCTAAATAGTTAATAAATTGTTGCATTTTTTCAGGATTGTTTGTGATTCTTGGCTAACTTTAGAATTTCCTGTTGCTGAAACCGGTCAGTTGCTACTTTTAAAAGCCAATAAATTACGCCAACAATGGGACTTTTTGCTGAACCAGAGTTTACAAGGTAAGCCCTTAGGGTATGATTTAATGAATTAAATTAAAAAATAATAATAAAAACAAATGCCTATTAAATTTTTCTTATTAAGCTGAAAACGTCATCAAATTTTTCGTTGGTCCTCAAGCTAAAAATTGATATCCACAGTTTTAAATCTTCAAAAATAAACACCAGATTTCTATAATTTTATGTAATGACTTATCATATTTAACTTTTTAATTTCAGACTCTCCAACTATTGGCGATGAATCGCAAAATACTGATGTAACCGAAACTAAATTAGTAAAAGAGCTTGTGGAATATATGCATACTACTGTGCCGTATACGATAAAACGACTTCTTCCAGCAAGTTTGAATTCTGTCTATGTTGGCAATGAAAATAACAATGATAATATAGATCCAAATCCATTCCAACCTGATTTTCAATGTGTTCCTAATGAAATCAAAGGTGGATGTCGTTTAACAAACCGTATAACATACAACTGGTAAACAATAAAATTCTATAATTTTAACATATATATGTTTGTGCCCTTTTTCCTGAACGAATTCTATATTTTAATAAAAAATTATTATTTCCTCAATTCCTTTTGATGAAATCTGACGATATCCAACCAGATAGCACAATAATTGTCAGCAAGTTTGCAAAAGCTTCAAATAATATTAAAAAAATTAATTTTAAAATTTAATTATTTCTAAAAATTTACACTATATTGCTTTTAATATTCAATTATTATCTAAAATTTTAACTGAAATTAATTTTTAAATCAGTTTTCATTAAAAAATTCTACAAAGAATCAGTTATTTAAATACAAAAATAAATAATTTATTGAATAATTGAATATTTCTTAACATTGAATTCTCATAATGAATTTTATCAACAAATTTTTAAATAATTGAATTCTTTCGACGAATTTTAATTAAATTTTAATGAATAATTACAGTTTTCAAGGGATTCGATTAAAATTGTATTAAAAATAATTGAACTGCTGCGATGAGTATCATTATTTGTGAAAATAATTGAGGTCTTGGATCCAATAACTCGCCCGACGCTTGGAGGAACGCGCAACTGCCAGTCAGTGAGCGGTGAGCGCCTCTGGGCCACTCACTGCTACCCGACTGGTATTAGCGCGTGCCTTCGAGCGTCGGGCGAGTTATTGGATCCAAGGCCTCAATTGAATCCCTGTAAAAATTTTGTTATTTATGAAAATAATTGAATTATTGCGAAGAAATTTTAAAAAAATATATAAATAATTGAATTCCCGTGAAATTTTTATTATTTATTTAAACATAATTAAATTTTTTTTAAATAATTGAATTCTTTTAGAAAATTGTATTAAAATAGTAGTTATTGAAAATAATTGAATTGAAGAAAATTTTTGAAAATAATTAAAATTTTGCCAATTTGTAAAATAAAACTTTTTCAAAATTCAATTATTTCTAACAATTCAAGCTATAATGTTTTTAATATTTTAACTGAAATTTTAACTGAAATTCATTTTTAAATTAATTTTTATTAGAAAACTCTACAAGAATCCAATTATTATTTAAATACAGAAATAAATAATTTATTAATTGAATGTTTCTTAATTGAATGCCCGTAAAGAATTTTATCAAATAAATTTTAAATATGTAAGTGGATTCTTTTAACGAATTAAAACAAAATGTTTAAAAATAATTACATTTTTCTAGAAATTTGTTTAAAATTGTATTAAAAATAATTGAAATTCTGCGGTGAGTTTTATTATTTTTTTTTTTAAATTAATTCTCTAAGAATAATTTAATATTTTTGAACATAATTAAATTCTTGTGAAGAATTATATTACTCTTTAAATTAATTGAATTTCTCCAATAATTTGTAACTACTCCAAAATTATATATTTTTTTAGTTTTTTCAAGTAAAATTCTTCTATAAATCCATTATTTGTTCTGTGACAATTTTCAAATTCAATTGTTTACAATTTAATTTTACAAAATTTCATTTATTCGAAAATAATTTAATTAAATATATTAGAAAAAAAATTTTTTTTTAAATCTGGAATTAAACTTTTTAAAAAAAATTAATTCCAGAGAATTGTTAGTTAAAAAAATGAAAAAGTCAGATTTTCAAAGATTTTAATTTGAAACTTTTTCAAAATTCAATTATTTTTAATATTTTAATAATATTTTTAATATTCAATTATTATCTAAAATTTTAACTGAAATTCATTTTTAAATATACATTTTTATTAGAAAATTCTATGAAATATCAATTATTTAAATACAAAAAAAATAATTTATTGAATAATTGAATGTTTCTTAAAATTCAATTCTCATAAAGAGTTTTATCAACAAATTTTCAAAATAATAAAATTCCTTTGACGAATTTTAAAAAAATTTGTACAAAAAAAAAAAAAAAAAAAAAAAAATTGTACATTTTTTTTTTTTTTTTTATTTCAATTATTTATAAAAATAATTAAATTTCTAAAGGGAATTTTAATATTTACTAAAATAATTGAATCCCTGTAAAAATTTTATTATTGATGAAAATAATTGAATTATTGCGAAGAAATTTATAAAAAATTTGTAAATTATTGAATTTCTGTGAAATTTTTATTATTTTATGAAAATAATTAAATGTTTGCGTAGAATTTTATTAAAAAATTTTTAAATAATTTAAATCTTTTGGAAAATTTTATTAAAATAGAAGATATTGAAAATCATTGAATTGAGGAAAATTTTTAAAAATAATTGAAATTTTGCCAAGAATTTTATTAAAGTTTTTGAAAATAATTGAATTTAGGAGAAGATTTTTATTATTTTTAAAAACAATTGAAATTTTGACGAGAATTTTTTTATATTTTTGAACATTATTGAATTTCTGCGAAGAATTTTATTACTTTTGAAAATAATTGAATAACTGCAATCATTTGTAATTTCTCTAAAAATTTTCCAAATTATATCGTATAATTTACGAACTTTTCATACTTTTTCAATCAAATTACGGACTTTACTGACCTTTTTTTTAAAAAAACTGACTTTTACTTACTTCAAGCAAATTTACGGACCTAGTTCGAGCCCTGTAAGCTGTAGCTTTTTCTCTGAAAAAATGTACAATATTGTTTTTAAAAATGTAAATTTTTATAATATATATTTGAATTATGTATTTGTTTCTTTACAGTTTAATGGAAAATGATTGGAGTAACAAGATGATGGCTGAAATGTGTGAAAATATTTGGAAGTGTTTGAATTGCAGTGTATCTGGTATTTTCACAGTTATGCAGAGATTACAACATCAAGTTGCATGTACAAAGCAAGACAAAGCAGAAGACAGTAACATTCCAATCGTTCCTGATATTCAAAAATCCAATAAAATTGTTTACCCGTGTCCACAATGTAATAAAACATTTTACTTACGACCAATTGAAATATTAAAGCATAAGAAACAACATTTGTAATAATAAAATTTTCGAAACAAAAAATAAATTGGGTACAAATTTCTAAAAATCTTTAAAATACAAACTACTTTAAATATTTTCTTCTTTTTAATCAGGCTTCGCAATCATTCACCGTAACCTACTATTTACTACTTATTTTAAAGATTATACACTATTTATATTCGTACTGCTTGTGTCATTTTGAGAAAAATGCATTTCAAGTTAAACAATTATAAAGTATACAATGCCTCAAAAAAATGTTTGAAATGGACTAAAAATTTTTATTTCAATTTTGTTTGCGTTCGCTGATTACGAATCTAAAGTTTTTTTCAGATATTCAAAATAGCAGATCCAATATGGCGAACAAGCTATGATATTAAGTATTTAAAACAAAAATTATTAAAATTTTAAATAATTTAATTTACAAATTCCTGGCTTTATACTCGATAATTAATTTTAAAAATGTAACAACAAGTAGCTTAAAGACTGAAAAAAGCAGTTAGCGAAAAATTAAATTTTACTACTCAATTTTTTCATAATTTCTAAATTAAATTAAATACAAAAATAGAGTAACTTTTTAAAAATAAATATATAAATACCTATTTATTTTTCCACAAAAATTAAAACATTTTAAATGATTTGAATGTAAAGCATTTTTGAAATTTATCTATTTCTAAAAATCACAAACTGTAATTCTTGCAAAATTCAATCAATTTTTTCTGAAATTTTAAAATAAAATTAATTCAAAACTTTAATCATTTTATTTCAAAATAAAAATTTAAATACTATTACAGTTTTACAACAAATAAAATTTTCAATAATTTTAGTTTAAAAATCTTTTAAAATTTAATTATTTCTAAAAATATATGTCATAACATAAAAATTAAATTTTATATCAATTCCTACTAAAATTTAATTATTTATAAATACAAAAATAAATACCATTTGAATAATTAGATATTTCTTAAAATTAAATTCTTATAAAATACTTAAACACAATTTTTTAAAATAATTTATTTCTTTCAAAAAATTATAAGTTGAATTTTTGCAAATTTAAAAAAAATAATTAGATTTTGAAGAATTTTAATTATAAATATGAACTAATTCGTAATTACATTTTCAAGAATAATTGCATTTTTCGAAGAATTCATTTAAAATTGTTGTATTAAAAATAATTGAAATTAAATTAATTATATAATTGAATTTCTGTCAAAATTTTATTTTTTATGAATTCAGTCAACGAATTTTGTCAAACTTATTAAAAATAATTCAATTCCTTCAAGACATTTATTTATATAAAAATAATTGAATTTTTCCAAAAAAGTTTATCTTAAAATAATTTAATTCTTGCGACGAATTATATTAACATTTTTTCTGTTGAAATAATTGAATTCTTTTGTGAAATTTCATTCATGGAATTGTTACAAAGAATTTCATTAAAATTTCAAAAAAGAATAATAATTAAATTCTTTCAAAAAATTTAATTATAAATGTTTTGAAAATAATTATTAAATTCTAATTTATCAAATTCTAAATGTTCTTAAATAAAATTTAATTCTTTTGAAGAATTGTACTTAATTTTTTGAAAATAATTAAATTCTGTCAAGAAAGTTAATTAAAAATATACCTATTGAAAATATCTGTTAAATTCTAATTGTAAATATTTTTAAATATAATTGAATTCTTTTGAAAAATTTTAGTAAAATTTTTAAGAATAATTACATTTTTCAAGAAATTTATTTAAAATTGTATTAGAAATAATTGAAATTTTGCGATAAGATTTAATATAGTTATGAAAATAATTGAATTTTTGCAACGAATTTTATAAAATTCTATTTTAAATAATTGTTTCTTTTGGAAAAAATTTTTATTTAAAATAATGGATTTGCAAACATTTTTTTAAAAATAATTGAATCACTTGAATGAATTTTATTAAAATTTGTTAAATTCATTTTAAAAATTGTATAAAAAATTTGTAAGAATAATTTGTTTATTTCAACTATTAACGAATTTAAAATAATGCAAATTCTCAAAACTTGATAAAGTAGGTAGCTTTTCGTGTCTATAATTTTAAAAAAAGTATCAAAATAGCATCAGATCGTAAAAAATAGTAGTCAAATTTAGTAGTCAAATTTTATTGATATAAATGATTTTTAGAAAAAACATTTCTTATACAACTAAAAACGGTCAACCTTTTAAATTTATATTATACAATAATATAATAATTGACACAAAATTCCTAGTGGTTTTTTAAAAAAAAATAATTGTTACATGTGTTAAATTTTTCGAATTTTCAACGTTTTTATAAAATTTTTTCTGAATTAGTATACAGAGACAAAGAAAAAAGTATTCTACGCAACTTATTTTAATAAGTTTCATAAATCAAAGTCTAAATTTTAGGGATCAAATTTTTTTGTTTCGCTACAAAACGAGTTTTTATTCTTAATAAACTTAAAAATCGAATAAACAATATCGAAAGTGATTTTAAAGAGAAATAAATTAACAAAGGGAAAGTTGTTCAGATCTCATGAACAAGCTGCTAAAAATCTTCTCAAATCTATTGTGGAGAGATACTGGAAAATTTTGCCAAAATCAAAATTCGAAATTTGGAGATTATACTTTCTGACAATTAGTTTATGGAGACAATTTTTGCATTCGTCCATCAAATTATTTCTTCTCATTCCCTTTTCGACGCTGATTGTCAAAAATTCACTGTACGCTGAAAACTTTGTGTAGGATGACTCGATTTTTTGCAGTAAATCCTCATTTCTCACGTATTTTGCAACTTTATCGACCGGTTTATTGAGAACATCATAGAAAGTTATATTTAATTGATCATCAACTTTCTCCTGTTTCATTGTCTTTATCTGCTTCATACATTCCTCAAGCCAATAATAAAGTTTATACTCTTTGCAAAATGCTGACTTTTCCGAATAGACAGCATTGGATAGCCACACAATACGTGCAATAATGAATTTTAAAAATATTTCCGATTTTTCTTTGTGTACTTTATAAAGTGCAACGTATCTATGCTGAATTTCGCTCTTGGACAATTTTTTCACATTATTCGCGTAATGAATTAAGAGTAAATTACACTTGTAATCATTCTCCCAAAGTTTTATTCCAAAATTGGAACACGATCTAAAATCATTGTATTCCATCAGAAGGTGTATTAATTCGGGGGAAAAAGTTGAACTTATCGTTCGGTCCAATATTGATCGGGAATAATATTCGATATCAGAAGATGAGAGTGAATTAAATATGCAACGAATAATTTCAGGATAAAAATCAAAACAAGTGGCATAATTCTCTGGAGGATAAACTTCTTCTTCTTCTGAACTTGTCACTTGATGATTACTAAAAATATTCTGTTTTTCATTACGAGATGTGTTTATTTTAACCGCATTGGTGAGTAAATGAAACATATCCTTCTTCGAACGGGAAATTAACATTTCTGTAATTTTCGACAATTTTTGAATAGTCCGCAGCGATGAGAAGTCGTTAGAATACATTTGTAGGGCTAATAATAAAGGTGTGCCGTCATAATAAAATTGATTAAATTCTGTCGATGCTGAAGGATCGGCGCCATTTTCCAGGAGGAATTTAACAATTTTCGGTTGTCCAGCACATGCTGCAAAATGCAACGGGGTTAAACTATTTTTCGTCTGAGAATTAACATCAGCTCCGGCTGATAATAGAATTTTTACAAGCCCCACGTCCTGAAAGGTCGCTGCCACATGAAGGGGACTTCGATCTTCGAAACAACTTTCGAAAGAATAATTTGCTTTCAACAGAATTTGTAAAATCTCCTCATTACCATTCTCAACAGCAATGTAAACCGCTAGCTTACTCGATGAAGAATCATTATCAATATTCTCTTTCTTATCGACAACATTCTTAACCGTTTCCACTAAACCTGAACGTACAGCCCAATGAAAAAGGTTTTCACTCTCAGCAATGTTCGCATCAATTTTCGAACTACAGGTCAATAAATATTTCCACATATTTAAATAACGTTTATGAATCGCATCGTGTAGTAAACTTTTCGTAGTTTTGAAACCCTCGTCTACTAAATATTTAAAGATATCTATTCGATTTTCCAGAAAACTTTTATACAACAATTTTAAGTCATCGTTAGCGATACAATTTTCGCTTTTCAAGCCGTTATTTATCAAAAATTGGAGAATTTCCAAACGATCCCATTGCACTGCGTCAACAAGAGGAGAATACGATCTATGATCGATTCGATTCAATCCGTTCGCCATTAACAATTTCACAAGTTCTAAATTTCCGGTCTTTGTAGCAGAACAAATATAATGATATTCCCTCACATCTTGTGAATTTAAAGTCGCACCATTTTTGAAGAGAATCTCGGCTATTTGAACGTCTTGTCTAGACAAGGCGCAATGAAGCGGAGTTTCGCCATTTACATCTTCTAGATTCACGATGGCATTCAATTTTAGAAGAAACTCTGTAAATTCGATGCGATTATATTTTGCGGCATAATGAAGTGGTGCTTGACCTTTTAAATTTTGGACATTCACGTTATACTCCTGTACAAGTAGTTTAAAGATCTCGGTTTGATTTTCCTTTATGGCAATATGAAGAGGAGTGTTGCCGTCTCCATCGCGTCTAATGAGCAATTGAACGATTTCCGTATGTCCTTTTGCTGCTGCTACATTAATCAATGTTTTATCGCATATTGTTCTTGTTGCAACACGTTCAAGAATGGTGCGAACAACATTTATGTCCCCAGAATGAACGGCGTGAAATAATTGATTGTAATTGGAATTGTCGTTATAATCCATTAAATTATCCATGATGATTAAATGTAATTATAGAAGAAATTCTTGAAAATTTACTGATGAATCATTTCTCGATTATTACTGGTTTTCGAAGGCTTTAAATTTCTCTGTAACAAAAATTGAAATATTATATTTTAAACACATGTTAGTTTAATAAATATTTTTAAATAGTCGATTTTCACAAAATTGTCTAACTTCAAGATATTTATTTTTTCAGGGATATCTCTTAAATTATCACTGTAATTTTTATATAATACTATCAAATGTTACGAAACGTGATGTTCAATTTATTATTATTAGGCAAATTAGAAAATTTTTTATTTTCAAAAATATGAATTTTTGAATAATTTCAGATTCAAACTTTAAAAAAATTCAATTATAAACTAATTTACTAATTAATTATTCTTGTTTATTAATTTCAAAAAGTATTAATAAAAATTCTTTGCTAGTATTTAATTATTTTTATAAATATCTAATACCTAAAATTTAATTATTTTTAAACAAAGTTTTAATAAAATTTCACGAAACAATAAAATTATTATTTTCTAAAATTTTAATAAATCCTTCGAAACAATTCAATTTTATTTATAAATAGTAGAATTCTTTGCAAAAATTTAATTATTTAAAAAAAAAATTCAATTTTTTCTAAATCCTTTATTAAATATTTGCAAAAATTCAATTATTTTCAAAAAAAATTTTAGGAAAGAATTCAATTTTTTTTCTTAATTCATTATAAAATATTTCAAAAAAACTTCATTATTTACTAAAATTAAAATATTTCAGAAAATAATTGAATTTTTTTGAAATATTTTAAATAAATCCTTCGGAACAATTCACTTTTATTTATAAATAGTAAAATTACTTGCAAAAGTTCAATTATTTTTAATACAATTTTAATAATAGGTACTTCGAAAAAATTCAATTATTTTAAAAAAATTTTAATAAATCCTTCGAAACAATTCAATTATATTTATAAATAGTCAAATTCATTGCAAAAATTCATTTATTTTCAAAAAAAATTTCACGAAAGAATTTTATAAAAATTTTTAAATTATTAATTTCTTTTGACTAATTTTATGCAAATTCTAATTTAAATAATTGAATTCCTGAAATTTTTATTATTCATGAAAAGAATTGATTTCTTACGAAGATTTTTACAAAAAAACTTTTTGAATAATTGAATTCTGTTTGGAAAATGAAAATAGTAGATATTGAAAATCATTAAATTGCGAAAAGTTTTTAAAAATAATTAAATTTTACAAAGAATTTTATTAAAATTTTTGAAAATAATTAAATGTCTGTGTGGTATTTTATATTAAATTTTATTGAAAATAATTGAATTTCTAAAAAGTATTTTAAATTATATATGAAAATAATTGAATCCTTGCGAAGAATTGAATTATTTTTTAAAATAATTGAATTTCCAAGAAAAAATGTATTTTTTTAAAAATAATTGAATTCTTGTAATAAATATTGTTATTTATGAAAATAATTGAATTTTGCAAAGAATTTTGTTAAAATGCCTCAAAATAATTAAATTTTCTGCAATAATTTTTTTTATTTATCTTTAATAATAATTGAATTCTTTCGAAGAATTATTTATGTAAATAATTGAATTCTTGGGAAGAATTTTATTAAAATCTAAAAGAATAATTGAATTATTTCAAAAAAATTTAATTAAAATTATATTTAAAATAATTGATTTCTTTCGAACAATTTTATTAAAATATTTGAAAATAATTGAATTATTCATGTGAAAAATTCTAATATTTTTCTAAATAATTGGATTCTTTCCAAGAATTTTAAAAAACATTTTTTTTCAACAATTGTGATTTTATCGAGAAATTGAAATCCTGCAATGAGTTTTATTATTTATAAAAATAATTGAATAGTTGCTAGGAATTTTATTAAAATTTTCGAAAATAATTGAATTTCTGTGAAGAATTTTATTATTTATGAAAATAATTTAATTATTGCGAAAAATTTTATTAAAATATTTAAAAAGAATTGAATTTTTGTAAAAAATTTGTTATTTTTGTAAATAATTGAATTCTTCATAAGAATTTTATAAACATTGTTTTAAATAATTATTTTTTTCGAAATAAATAATAAATAAATAGTATTAAAAATAATTGAAATTCTTGGATGATTTTTATTATTTACGAAAATAATTGAATTCTTGTTTAGAATTTTATTAAAACATTTTAAAAAAATTGAATTCGATGAAAATTGTTATTATTACTGAAAGTAATTGAATTATTATGAAGAATTTTTTTAAAAATTCCATCAACTAATTAATTTTTTCGAAATTTTTTTGAAAATGTTATTCTAGATTAATTGAATTTCTGTGAAAATTTGATTAATTTTGAAAATATGTAATTGAATTTTGGATGAATTTTATCAATTTTTTTTAAATAATTGAATTCTTTTGCGAAATTTTATGAAAATACTTGGTATTGGAAATAATTGAATTTCGAATATTTTTTGAAAAAAATTGAATCATTTTAAAGAATTTGAGTATTATTTTTGAGAATAGTTTTTTGATTTCTAATATAAGCGAATTTAAAGTACTGAAAATTCTAAAAGAAAAATAAATAGTAGCTTTTAGTGGCTGAAATCTAGAAAAATAAATTTAATGGCAAAGACTAATAATATATATAATATATAATATATGTATAATATATTCAAATTGATTGAAATAAAATAATTTTCTTTTGTTTTGCATTGATGTTTATTACTATTAGCATTTTGAAGTAAAAAACAATAAAAAAGCTACGTTTTTCAAAGTTTTCGCAACTTTTAAAAAAAATTTATAGCTGTGGATAATATTATGTTTTTAATTCAAGGTGAAAAAGGTTAAATGGGGAAATCCCTCGCTACAACTGAACTGAAACTGAATTTAGAATACCGAAAAATTTTTCCTACTATTTGGACTTCAAACTATTTTTTACTAAAATATATAAAATTTAAAAAAAAAATATATATACATATATTCTTTTCCTTTTATACGTAATTTAAATACAAAAAAACTAACAATTTCTATAAAATAAATATAAAGAAAAGAAATTAATTACCAATGAAATTTCAGTAGCAAACGGTGTAGGTTATAAAATATCTGTCAATAATAAAGGTATCGAAACAGAATACCAGCTATTAAATGCACATCGTAGTGAAGTTTAAAACAAGAACATTTTTGTTTACTATTATTTTTATGTATAAAAAAACTTAGATGTATTCTTTATTCTAAAATTAATTAAAAATATTTTTTAGATTTCTCTCGACGGTTGAGTAAACGATGGTAAACAAAGAAGAGCTGAACTGAGAACGAGATTTATGAGATAGAAAAGGACATAAATATATTTCTGTTCTTTTCTAACTCATGCTTTGTGTTCGCGAAGCAGTTGTGCTTAGGCCTTTCACACACTAGCTCTTTAGGGTACATTTCCATTTATTTATCGGTGGGAGAAAAAAAATTCACCTTGAAAAATGTTAAAATCGCGTTCACACATATAACTTTTACTTTAAAAACTTACTGTGGTGAGCGAATTGTAGAATTTACTATTCTAACTAAATTATTGTAAAATATACTGAAGGTGCTTTTCTATACCTCCGGTGGATTGGTCAAGCAATCGGCTTGATGAATTTTCACGGTCGGATAACGTAATACGTAATTTGATTGGCTGTACTAAAGATTCCATTTTCACTGTTTCTAATTTTCAGGAACAGTAAAAATAGAATTTACTCTTCAACCAATCAAATTGAGTGACCCGACCGTGAAAATTCATCTAAAGGCGCTTGCACACTTCCAAAATTTTGGGCGAGCAGCGAATTTTCATGGCCTTGAAACTCACATTACTAAATATGATTGGCTCTACAAAAAGCTGCGAGAAAATGTACTTTTGTCAGAGCCAATCATATTTAGTAATGTGCATTTCAAGGTCGTGAAAATTCGCTGCTCGTCTAAAAATTTGGAAGTGTGCAAGCGCCTTAAGGCCGCAGTCCCATGGCAGCGTTTTGCGTTGCGTTTTAATGAGAGAGAATGCAGCAAACGTATATTTGCGTCTTTTTCTCTCCCATTACAACGCAACGCAAAACGCTGTCATGGGACTGCGGCCTTACCCAGTCGCTCCGCTTTTCCGTAGCGCTGGGTAAGTGTGGAATCAGCATTAGAGATGTGTGAGAGGTTCCCCGTTCCCGTGTGTCATGTAATCTACGGTAAGTAACGTAGTTGACGTCATATCTGGGGCCGTATTCTCGAATCGATGACCCTAGATGTCGCATGCGACAGACCATTCGAGATGGAAAAAGCTATTCTCGAACGCTTGTCGCATGCGAGATTTCATGTCGTATGCGATAATTTCCGAATGGTTCATCTCGAGTGGGTAGTGGCCATTCGAGATGCAAAGTCGTATACGAAATGCTAGTAAAAAATAAGGTTGTGTGTCATCCTTGTAATAAACGTATATAATATAAAGTAGTATTAGTGTACATGAACCGCATGCTAAAGTAGAAAAACTATACAAAATAACCTAAATGTAATGTTTAAGAATTAAAAGTAAACTTGTGAAATAAAAGTTTAATGTAAATAATTTATAATATGCAAAATTTATAATGGATAAATTGCACATGTTTGTGTTATTTTTGTGAATGAATCATGTTAACAATATATTTATTTTATTTTTTATTTTTTTTAATTTTTTAATCTTCGTTTCATTTTTTCTGTCTGTTCACACTTTAAAGTTAGTTTTTGTGTATGCTTTTGTTTTTTTCTTTACAAAATATTGTTTCACAAATTGAAAGTATGCTCTTTTTTAAGATTTAAAATAAAATAAAATTTAAAATTATAAAATTACAAAAAATTTTGATTAACAAATAAATTTTCTTTTTGCAAAAATAGGAAATATATATATTTATTAATTAAAATTATGCATAATATAAAGGGATATATCCCTTTATTATGCATAATTTTAATTTTTCAATAACAATATTGTTCACAAACTGATTCTTTTCTTTAAAAAAAAAATATTACATATTCCAGTTTCTTAACATTTTTGTAAAAAATTCTCAATTTACAAATGCTAATATTAAAACTTTAATATAAAAAAAAATGTTGTTACATTTATTTACGAATTTCTTTAATTATAAAATTATTCGTAATAATATCAGTAACTTCTATTTAAATAAATATTTGATTGTTATTATTTTTTCATTATTTTATTACATTTAAAAATAATTAAATTTTTGTAATCATTTTGTAACGTACGTCTACAAAATTCAATGTATTTAGTGTTTTTAACTAAAATTCTTCTATAAATTCATTATTTTTAATAATTAATTAAATATATATTGCCAAATATAACTAATTTCAAAAGAATTTGAATTATCAAAATTTTAAATTAAATTCATTCAAAATTAAAATTTTATAAAATTTCAAACTGAAACCGCTTAAAGTTAATTTGTTTATAAAAATTGTAAACGCAAAATTGAATTGATTTTGAAATATTTAAATGAACGGATAACTATTTGTATTTTTCTCATATGTCAAGTTCTCTTCCTCCTCAATTATGATTGGCAGATAAGTATTTGGAAACGACGGCAACAATGTATGAATGTCGCACACGGAAATTTTCGAACAACCTATCTCGAACGGTCATTGAGAATAGACTTTCAGAGTCGCATGCGACATTAACCATTCGACATTTTACGCATGCGAGAATTGTCGAATGCTTTCGAGAATACGGCCCCTGTCCTCTCCTTTCTTACCGGGGTGCTACTCTCTGTACCAAAAACATAAGTTCGAATGCTCATTATGCCGAATTTACAATTTAGAAATGACCAGATACGCGAATCCTCAATAACCTAAATTGTATATTGAATGAAATTCAAAAGTAGGGAATAATCATTTGATATATTCTGCATATGGAGAATATTATTTTAAACTAATTCTTTTTTTCCACAATTTGAAATTATTGCAATTTTTATTTTTGGAATTTCCACTTTACCTACATTTTAATAGATCGAAACGTAAAATATCAGAATTGACATTTAATTGAAATATGATGGAGAATAAATATATATTCACTGAATAAAAAGATTAAATAATTATTAAATGTTTGAATTTAATAAAAACATATTGTTCAAAAGTTACAGTGCGAATTGTACAGAATATATATTAATAAGAAATATAATTTGGCAGAATGTCGATTCGATCGATTTTATATTTGCAAGAAATTCAATTTGACAGAATATCAATTTATAAGAAACACGTTTTCGTAGAACTTTAACTTGTCAGAATTGTAATTTTGTAGAATATTAATATTGGCAAATCTAATTTTGGTAGAAATCTGCTTTATCAGAATGATCACATGTTCGAATCCTCAAAAGTTAGAATTCCATTTTTACCGAAAATGGATTCCACATAAATATTTGGCGCAAATTTTAAAATCGACCAATCAGAAATCAGAATTTTAAAATTTGCGCCAAATATTTATGTGGAATCCATTTTCGGTAAAAATGGAATTCTAACTTTTGAGGATTCGAACATGTGATCATTCTGATAAAGCAGATTTCTACCAAAATTAGATTTGCCAATATTAATATTCTACAAAATTACAATTCTGACAAGTTAAAGTTCTACGAAAACGTGTTTCTTATAAATTGATATTCTGTCAAATTGAATTTCTTGCAAATATAAAATCGATCGAATCGACATTCTGCCAAATTATATTTCTTATTAATATATATTCTGTACAATTCGCACTGTAACTTTTGAACAATATGTTTTTATTAAATTCAAACATTTAATAATTATTTAATCTTTTTATTCAGTGAATATATATTTATTCTCCATCATATTTCAATTAAATGTCAATTCTGATATTTTACGTTTCGATCTATTAAAATGTAGGTAAAGTGGAAATTCCAAAAATAAAAATTGCAATAATTTCAAATTGTGGAAAAAAAGAATTAGTTTAAAATAATATTCTCCATATGCAGAATATATCAAATGATTATTCCCTACTTTTGAATTTCATTCAATATACAATTTAGGTTATTGAGGATTCGCGTATCTGGTCATTTCTAAATTGTAAATTCGGCATAATGAGCATTCGAACTTATGTTTTTGGTACAGAGGGTAGCACCCCTTTCTTACCATGAAAACACCACTTTCCTATCCCTGGTTTGCTGTCAAAAAATCAGCTGTACATTTTTAAGGTTATGTTATTTTTACAATAAATCAAATTTTAACTGTTATTTAATTAAATAATATCAAGAAATGTCATCCGATTTTCAACATGAGGATTTTCAAGTATCCCACAAATTATCAAAATATGTAAAAAGTAATTCTCAAGAGAAAATCATCTCAATCTTAAAAAGGGCGAAAGCTGATTCAAAATGTACAAAGCAACTTTTTAAGGATGAAAATTTAAATCTTTTAATAGATCTTTTAAAAATTCAAAATCTTGAGATTATTAACTTGAGTCTAAGCATTCTGGCAGATATGTGTCGAAATCTTGAAATCAGAGAAAAGGTAAGTAAACTTTGAACTCTATTTATTAAAATTATAAACTTATTGAGCGAAAATTCTTGATAATATAAAATCTTTATTTACATTTCTTATCCGGTTTTTAAATTAATTTTCTGGTAAATAATAAATAGTTAAAATAGTAAAATTTTATTTATATATTTAAGACTTTGATCATATCGTTAATTTATTAATGTTAACATGTCATATGCTCTTTCATTGTAGATAAAATTTTATACAGTAAGCGATACTCTCTATGTGTCAGAATTTCAAATCATTCTTAGTTAATTTTTAAAAATTCTTAGATTACTTATAATTTTTTCTATTAATAGAAAATTCTTATCAGAGTTTTGATTGGTTTTTATGACCTCAATTGATATAGATCCAAAAGTTAATAGAAACGCGCGAATTATTTAAATTTTGCTTAGATAATTTCAATTTTTTTTATTTTTAAATATCAACATTAATTTTTTAATAATTTCAGATTCAGCATTTAAAAAAATTCACTTATTAACTAATTAAATATTATTATTTGGGTATTTACAAAAATAGAAATTTAAAATACATTTTTATAAATAATAAAATTCTCTGCATTCATTCAGTTATTTTCGTAAATAATAAAATTCTTTGCAAGAATTCAATAATTTTCATAAATAAAAAAAATTCTCCACATTAATTGAATTATTTTTGTAAATAAAAATAAAATTCTCCGCATTAATTCAACTTTTTGAATTATTTTCGTAAATAATAAAATTCTTTACGAAAATTTAAATAATTTCTTTAATATTGATATAATTCTACGCAGAAATTTAATTAATTTCAATACAATTCAAATGAAATTCCTTATTTGCATTATTTTTACAAATTTATATCAAATTTAATTAAATTTTACACTTAATTGTATCAAAGTTGTTGAAAGAATTCTACTATTTACAAAAATTTGAATTCAATTTTTTATAAGAATTAAAATTATTTTCAATACAATTTTAACTTTTTTTTCGAAATAATTTATTTATTTTCAAAAATTTTAAGAAATACTTATAAAGAATTCAATTATTTTCATAAATAATAAAATTCTTGAAAAAAATTTAATTAAATACTTTGAATACAAGTTTGTAATGAAATTTTTTTTACAGAATTCAATTATTTTTATTAATTTTAGTAAAATTCCTGGAAATAATTAAATTATTTTGATAAGATTCGTTACAGGAATTCCAATTGATTTCAGTCTAATTTTTATTAAATTTCTTAAAAGAATTTCATTATTTTAAAAAGAATTCAATTAATTTCAGACCAATTTTTATAAAATTTCTTGAAAGAATTCATGATTTAAAAAAGTTTTTAATAAAATTCTTCAAAATAATTCAATTATTTTCAAATATTAAATTTAAAATTTTAGAAAAATTCACTTATTAATTAATTAAATATTTTTATTTAGGTATTTTCAAAAATATTAATTTAAAATTCATTGAAACAATTCAATTACTTTAAAAAATTATAATAAAATATATTCTCAGGAATTCAATTATTTTCATAAATAAAAAAAATTCTCAACATTAATTGAATTATTTTTGTAAATAAAAATAAAATTCTCCGCATTAATTCAATTTTTTGAATTATTTTCGTAAATAATAAAATTCTTTACGAAAATTTAAATAATTTCTTTAATATTTATATAATTCTACGCAGAAATTTAATTAATTTCAATACAATTCAAATGAAATTCCTTATTTGCATTATTATTACAAATTTATATCAAATTTAATTAAATTTTACACTTAATTGTATCAAAGTTGTTGAAAGAATTCTACTATTTACAAAAATTTGGAGACGCATTCCTATTCTCTAAAGTAAATTTGTTCGAACTTCAATTAAACAGAATTTTAGGTGGTAGAAATGTCCCTTATCCGTTTTTTTATTTATCATAGTTATTAAGAGTCTTACAGCGTAGATAATAAAAATATATAATACAGGAATTAGAATTTAAACAAATTTGCAACAATATTAATTTGTCAATAGTAGAATTTTTGTTTAAAAAAATTTTATATTTCAGAATTCTATTTTATTTTAAAACTTCGATTTTGCAAATTTTTATTTACAAGAATTTTCATTTAAAAGAATTTTCAAAATACAAAATTTATCCGTAATCGAATTTTCATTATACAGAATTTACATTAGGACAAATTTTAATTTCACGAAATTTTTTATTTACTACAATATTTATTAAACAGAAGTCATTTAAACAATTTTTTAATTGACAGAAGAATCATTAGAATGAATTTTTTCTTAGTCGAATTTTTATTTCTCAAAATATTAATTGATATAAAATCGATTTGAGCAACTTTTCATATGACAAAAATCTCACATAATCGAAATTCATTTAGACAGAATTTCTAATTATTGAAATTTTCGTTTGTCAGAATGTTCATATGCTAGAAATTTTATTTTATAGAATTTAAATATGACAGAATTGTAAAATACTCGAATTTCTACTATGCCGACATCTCAAGCTAACGAAAGTTTAGTTCACAGAAATATAATTTGTCCGACAAAACTCCATTAGATAGATGTGTTGTCTTTCTCTAACTAATGGAGCATTTTTGGGCAAATTAAATTTCTGCCAACTAAACTTTCGTCAGCTTGAGATGTCGGTAAAGTAGAAATTCGTGCATATAACAATTTTGTCATATTTAAATTCTATAAAATAACATTTCTAGCATATTAGCATTCTGGCAAACGATAAATTTTACTAATCACAAATTCTGTCTAAATCAATTTTGGTTATGTGAGATTTCTGTCATATATAAAAAGTTGCTCAAATCGATTTTATGTTAATTAATATTTTAAGAAATAAAAATTCGACTAAGAAAAAATCCATTCTAATGATTCTTCTGTCAATTAAAAAATTGTTTAAATGACTTCTGTTTAATAAATATTGTAGTAAATAAAAAATTTCGTGAAATTAAAATTTGTCCTAATGTAAATTCTGTATAATGAAAATTCGATTACGGGTAAATTTTGTATTTTAAAAATTCTTTTAAATGAAAATTCTTGTAAATAAAAATTTGCAAAATCGAAGTTTCGAATAAAATAGAATTCTGAAATATAAAATTCTGTTAAACAAAAGTTCTACTATTGACAAATTAATATGGTTGCAAATTTATCTAAATTTTAATTGCTTTATTATATATTTTTATTATCTACGCTGTAAGACTCTTAATAACTATGATAAATAAAAATACGGATAAGGGACATTTCTACCACCTAAAATTCTGTTTAATTGAAGTTCGAACAAATTTACTTTAGAGAATAGGAATGCGTCTCAAAATTTGAATTCAATTTTTTATAAGAATTAAAATTATTTTCAATACAATTTTAACTTTTTTTTCGAAATAATTTATTTATTTTCAAAAATTTTAAGAAATACTTATAAAGAATTCAATTATTTTCATAAATAATAAAATTCTTGAAAAAAATTTAATTAACTACTTTGAATACAAGTTTGTAATGAAATTTTTTTACAGAATTCAATTATTTTTATTAATTTTAGTAAAATTCCTAGAAATAATTAAATTATTTTGATAAGATTCGTTACAGGAATTCCAATTGATTTCAGTCTAATTTTTATTAAATTTCTTGAAAGAATTTCATTATTTTAAAAAGAATTCAATTAATTTCAGACCAATTTTTATAAAATTTCTTGAAAGAATTCATGATTTAAAAAAGTTTTTAATAAAATTCTTCAAAATAATTCAATTATTTTCAAATATTAAATTTAAAATTTTAGAAAAATTCACTTATTAATTAATTAAATATTTTTATTTAGGTATTTTCAAAAATATTAATTTAAAATTCATTGAAACAATTCAATTACTTTCAAAAATTATAATAAAATATATTCTCAGGAATTCAATTATTTTCATAAATAAAAAAAATTCTCAACATTAATTGAATTATTTTTGTAAATAATAGAATTCTTCGCATTAATTAAATTAATTTCGTAAATAATAAAATTCTTTACAAGATTTCAATTATTTTCATAAATAATAAAATTCTTTACAAGATTTCAATTATTTTCTTAAATAATAAAATTCTTCACGAAAATTTAATTATTTTTGTAAATATTGATATAATTCTTCGCAGGAATTTAATCAATTAATTAATTAATTGATTGAATAATTAATTGAAATTAAATAATTTCAATTATTTTCACTAATAACAATATTCATCATAAGAACTCAATTATTTTCAAAAGTAATAAAATTCTTCGAAGAAATTCAATTAATTTTAAAACCTTAAACGAATATCTCGTCATAAATTCAATTATCTTTATAAATAGATAGCGAAATTCTTTTCAAGAATTAAATTATTGTTAAAAAAATTTAATAAAATTCTTGGTAAAATTTCAATTATTTAAACAAAATTTGATAAAATTCTTGCCAAAATTTCAATTATTTAAACAAAATTTGATAAAATTCTTCACATGAATTCAAATATTTTTATAAATTATTATTATATTATTTTTTAAAATTTATTTTTATTAAGTCCAGCAGTTACAATCAATAATAGGACTACAAAATAAAACAGTAATTTTGCTATCAAAGGTAAATGCAATTTCGAATATAAGTTTTTACAAAAATGGAAATAAGAAAGAAAATAATTATATTTGTTGCATTACTGAATTACGTAAATAGTCTGTTTTGACTATAAGGAACATAAAAGAAAAATACATTATTTCTTGAATGAAATTTAGGTACTCAAAATCGTAGTGTATTATTATTTAAATTCTTCTCAGGAGTTCAATTGTTTTTAAAAATTTTAATAAAATTCTTCGTAAAAATTCAATTTTAAGAAACATTCAATTATTGAAAAAATTATTAATTACTTCCTCATGGAGGAAGTATTGTAATACCAAAATTTTTCGAGTTCGATTTTTTGACATATCTTTATGTTATTTGACCTCAGGAATTCAAAAATGACATTTTTAAAAAATGTCATCCAAAAAA